GGTTGTGCTATGATGATTTATGATCTAATTTACTTGATGATAGAAAGACTCGCCAAGCTCTCTATTTATAGCACCAAAACCAGGTATTAGGAAGGCGGAAGGAAAGTGGAATCAAACATGGGGAAACTTCAATGGTGGTTGAGGAAGCTCTCCTTGTCATTCTTGCACATGGAGGAAGCTAGGAATTGGATTCTTCAATTTGCTTGTACTTGGATATGTCATGGAAATTTAATTCTTCAATTCTCCCCTTCCAGGCATATTCGGAACAAGCATCCTGACTATGTCTCTGCACAGGTCTAGCTTATCTCGTGTCACCACCTTTGTCAGCATGTCTAATGGATTCTCCTTGGTGTTGATCTTCACTAGTGTCAACAGTTGTTGATCAATCGTCTCATGTATCCAGTGATATCGAATATCAATATGCTTTGTACGAGAATGGTACATGGAGTTCTTGCTCAAATCTAGAGCACTCTGACTGTCACGGTGTACATTGTACTCTTCCTGCTGGATCCCAACTTCTTGGAGAAAACGCTTTAGCCACAACATTTCCTTGTCGGCTTCAACGGCAACAATGTATTCTGCTTCTGTTGTAGATAAAGCGACACATTTCTGCAATCTTGATTTCCAAGAAACAGCTCCCCTTGCAAAGGTGTAGATATATCCTGAAGTAGACTTTCTACTATCAATATCTCCAGCCATATGAGCATCTGTGTAGCCTTCCAAGACTGGATCAGCTCTTTCGTAGCAAAGACATAACTTCGTGGTACCTTTCAAGTACCTGAGAATCCATTTGATTGTCTCTCAATGCTCCTTCTCGGGGTTAGAGAGAAAACGACTCATTGTACCCACTGCATGTGCGATGTCTGGCCTTGTGCATACCATGGCGTACATCGAACTCCCAACTGCTGAAGAATATGGAACTACTGACATCTCCCCGATCTCTTCCCTGGATGTAGGGCATGTTCTTTTGCTCAACTTGAAGTGATTCGCAAGTGGAACATTAACTGGTTTGGCATCATTCATGTTAAATCTCTCAAGTACTCGTTCAATGTACTTCTCCTGAGATAGCCATAACTTGCGATTCTTCCTGTCTCGAGTGATCTGCATCCCAAAAATCTGTTGAGCAGGTCCTAAGTCTTTCATATCAAAAGATTTAGAGAGTTCTTTCTTCAGCTGATTTATCTTCATTGCATATTTCCCAACAACCAACATGTTGTCTACATAGTAAAAGAGCAATGAAGGTACCGTCTGGAAGTTTCTTGATGTATACACACTCATCTACAGTAGTCTTCTTGTAGCCTTGACTCTTCATGCATGAGTCAAACTTCTTATTCCACTGCCTTGGTGCCTGTTTCAAGCCATATATACAAACTTTTAGATAACTCACACACAAAGTTGTCATTTGAGTTCTCAAAACCTTTTATGCATATAAATTTCTTCTTTCAAATCTCTGTGAAGAAATGGTGTCTTCACATCCATCTGTTCAAGCTCCAAGTTCATACTTGCTGCCAAGCCAAGTGTTACTTGGATTGAGGTCATCTTGACAACTAGTGCAAAGATCTCATCAAAGTCAAGTCATTTCTTCTGCTGGAATCCTTTGACAACCAATCGAGCTTTGTGTTTCACCACTTATCCACTTGCATCCTTCTTCAGCTTGAACACCCATTTGTTCCTCGGTGCCTTCTTCCCTTTAGGAAGTTCTACGATCTCATAAGTTTGGTTTTTCTGCAGAGATTCTAACTCATCTTGCATTGCTATTAGTCATTTTTCTTTGTCCTTATGAGACACAACTTCTTGAAAACTCTTCGGTTTTCCATCTTCAGTTAACAAAAGATATTCAGATGATGTGTACCTTTTCGATGGTATATGCCCTCGTTCATAACTACGAACAGTTGTAACCATCAGAGAAGAGCTACCATCATCTGTGTTTGGCGGGGTGGGTTGTGTCTCCCCTTTCTCTGCACTCTCTTCTATCTCCTCGCCTTCTTCTGCTTCTGAGTTACCTTCGTGCACTTCGTCCTCTTCTGGTGCTTCATTTGAAACTTGAGCACCCTCATTTGACTTCCGAGACATTGTGGGTTTTTTAATGTCTTTTATTGTCAAATCTTCGTGGAACACAACGTCCCTACTTCTGAACACTTTTTTCATCTTAGGATCCCATAACATGTATCCAAACTCTTCATTTCCATAGCCAACGAAAATGTGTGGGATAGTTCTTGCATCAAGCTTTTGTCTGAGCTCTTTGGATACATGTGCATACGATAAACAACCAAATACTCTAAGATGTGAGTATGTAGAATCCTTACATGTCCATAGCCTCTCTGGAACTTCAAAGTTCAGTGGTACTGAAGGTGATCGGTTGATAAGATAGCATGCGGTGTTGACTGCTTCTCCCCAAAATGACTTTGGAAGTTTAGCCATATTAAGCATGCTCCAAACATGCTCCATGATAGTCCAGTTCATTGTTTCAGCAACACTGTTGTGTTGTCGGGTGCGTGGTACTAACTTCTCATGTCGAATGCAATACTCTCTGCAATATGCGTCGAACGGCTTGGATGTATACTCGCCTCCATTATCAGATCGGAGACATTTCAACTTCTTTCATGTTTCCCTTTCCACCAAGACGTGAAATGTCTTGAAGCACTCGAACACCTGATCCTTCGTCATCAGGAGATACAGCCACACTTTCCGAGACGCATCACCGATAAAAGTCAGAAAATATATGCTTCCACCGAGTGATTCCACCTCTAAAGGACCACACACATCAGAGTGTACCAAACTCAACAACTCCGATCTTTTAGTTGAAGTAGAACTAAATGATACTCTATGTTGCTTACCAAACAGACAATGAATGCAAGGACCCAGTGCAGCATTCTAGTCAATGTTGATAAGGTTCTTCTTCATCAAGGTAGTCAACCCTTTCTCACCGATGTGGCCGAGTCTCAGGTGCCATAGATCCAGAGAAGTCTCCTCAGCAATGTTGAGGCTATCCGTACAAATCCTCAAATGGGTTTTGTACAATGTTCCTCAAACATGTCCTCGAGCGATTGTCAAAACGCCCTTTGACATTTTCCATGTGCCCCTGCTAAAGTCGTTTTCATACCCATGTTCGTCAAGACATACCACTGATAGGAGATTGAGCCAAAGGTCTGGAACATGTCTGACATCCTTAAAGTGATTGTGCTCCCAGTACTTGTCTTTATTTGTACATCACCAATTCCAGCTATTCCAGATCAACTGGAATTACCCATCATCACCGCTCCAAAGTCTCCAGCTTTGTAAGTTGTGAAGTAGTACCTGTAGGGAGTAACGTGGTAGGATGCTGCAGTATCTACCACCCATTCAGTGTCCTCTCTTGAGACGTGAAAGCATGTTTCATCATTGGTAGTACAATGCGCCACATCACCTGAGATTGTGATGAGCGTTTCACCACCCTTGTTCTTCGCTTGAGAATTTCTCTTGCCTCGCTCCTTTAACAATTTGTAGCAATTCTTCTTCATGTGACCCTCTATACCGCAATGGTGGCAGGTATAAGAAGGTTTCCGGTCATCTGATGATCTCCCCTGACTTTTGCCTCTGCTTTGCCATTTTCCTCTACCGTTTCTTTGTTGCTTTCCTTGTGGTCTTCATCGATTCTCTGTCACAAGGGCATGAATCTGGTCTGTGCTCATGTCTTTCCTTCTTGCCTCCTCATTGAACAATGCATCCTTGACCACAGAAGTTGTTGAGTGTAACAACTAGTGTCTCCTAACTATCAGGAAGGAAACTAAGAAGTAGTAGAGATAGTTGATTTAGTAGACTATGGAACTGACTAGTATGTTCGGCAACAGAAGTTCCACTTTTGAGCTTCATATTGACAATGCGCCTCATCAGTAGGCCCTTGTTCCTAGCGGTCTGGGCCTGGTACATATCTTCAAACTTCTTCCAAATGGCATAGGCGTCTATTTCTTGTGCAACATGGTGGAAGACACTATGGTCAATCCATTGTCAGATTTGACCAATAGTTTATCTATTAATTTTCTTCCACTCCATTGGTGGAACACTTGGGCGGGTCAGGATTAATACATTTCATCTCTATTGGATCAAAAGGGTCTTTACAGCTAAGGAAATCTTCCATCCGAGGTTTTCATAGCGTGTAGTTGGTAGCCGTAAGCATAATCATAGCTCTGGAAGATGAAGTTGACTCGTCAAAGGTCATTTTCACCTTTTAAATAATATTGATTTTCTGTTCAAGAAAAATCAGAGCAGAATTTTGAAAAACGGGCAGCACCGTTGCGTCCAGAACGGCGGTGACCTGGAAGATGACATGGCAGTGACGTGGCGCTGACTGGTGGCTGGCGTGGCGTATGAGTGGGCGCTTGTGAAAGATGGCAGCAGAGTGATGATGTGGCGGTTGACTCAGCTCTAGCTGCACGCGTGGAGCTGACGCAGCTCTGAGTGGCTGATGACGTCAATCGTCTTCCTCCCTTGGAATGCGCATGCTGACGCAACAGCTTCTCGCCGGCGATTGGACGGCGCGTACGGTAGCTTCCAGTGGTAAAAAAATGTCCCAAAAACAGCGGCGGCCGAAACATCTTGCCTGTAAGAATGGACAAGATCTTTTTCCTACATTATACGGAGTAATTCATTATATTACGACAAACTTTTCCGCCCTTAAGAGTTAAAATTTTTCTTAATTTTGTGTCTCTAATTTCATCTTTACCTCAACACAAGCCCTCCAACAGTCCAACCATACAAATTTCGGTGACTGCCCTATCCACAACCAACTTTCGTCACCCCCTCCAAATTCACATCAAATCCGATTTTGTAACCATATTGCATGAAACTTATCTATTCACATATAATTGGTTACTGAAATAATTAAATTAAAAAATACGTAGTATATGATGAAAATATACTGTGAGAGAATGGAAATGATCTGATGTAGAATACTTACTAGTTAGTAGTTAGGGACTCTGATTACTACTACTACATATAGTGAGAGCGAATCAAGGCAATTAGTGTACTGGATGTCAATTTTTTCACATCAAAATTAGATTGCTAGGGATCCTCTGATTAGGAATGAAAACCATAATACTTTACAACTCAAATTACCTAATAGACACCGCTTTTGTCTATTCCTTGGAACAATACAATCACAAAATGTCTTGGAAATAACTTCTGAATGGTTTTCAAAAGAATCTTAAGCTACAGAACTTTGGAACCTTAAGCTAATAGTTAAGCAATGAACAAGGAAATGCTCGGACTAGTAATAACCAACAGAATAAAATTTTAATAATCAAGAGAACCAACAGACGCCATGCCACTAATCATCTTCCTTGATTCCGGTGAGCTTCCAAAGTCGTCACAACTGCCGCTAGACATCCTAGACACAGGAATGGAGCTTAGAAGCTCCAGGCCATGCTTCCCCATTTGCTGCACCTCTTGAGGAGACAGTATCTTGATGCACCATACGCTGTTCACAAACTCGCTGGATAGTAAAGCGAAACACATGATTAAAAATTTAACATTGAATCTCTTCTAATTTTACGAAGAAAAAAAAAAAGAAACACATCAACCTATTTGAATAGTTGTAGATGAAAGAAGTGGCTTGCTTATACCAAATTTGGTATGTAGTAGTAAATCCAAATGAAATAGCTAAAGTTGCTTACTTCGGTAAGACCATGACAGATACAGTTGAATTGGCGAACTTGGTAGTAATACATAGCAAAGAATATTTGAATTATATTTTCTTAATTCAATAAGATTCGGTGGCTTGTTTTCATTCACTAGCAAAATTTCAAGCCCAAAAAAACCAACTTAGGCACTAACTATTACTTTATTCATTATGAAGAAATTCCGCCACACACGGTTGGTAGCTAAAAAAACTGGCAGATAAGCAGAAATAGTCAACTTCGTAGTAGTGATAGTATATTAGAGAGAAGTATGAGAACTCACGGCCAAGGATCATCTCCGAGCAGAAGAACATCGTTCTCCTGATCAACAAATACAAGCTGCCAGCCTGATCTTAAAGGGTCCTCCAGTAAGCCTTCAAGGCCGAACATCTGAGCAAGTTCACTGCGCAGCTCTTGGTAACTGCTAAACTTGGTGATGTCTAGTGACCTTCCCAAGGACCCCGACTTACAAACCTGATAGATGGGCAATAGAAAAGGAGTAAAAAAAGAACATGTTACATAATCAGATGATGATGTCATAAACATGTTCCCACAGAGACATAGGGGGTGGTTTACCTTAACAAAGGTTTTGTTTGGTGGGTTTTCTGGGCCCAGATTCTCCGAAGCCTGCATGACACTGGACTCCTCGATGCAAACAGGAGGTGTCATTCCAGAGTTCATAGCAAAATCATTTCCGGAATTACTCATGTAACTTGAGGTGACAAACGGCACAGTTGTGGAATCACAAATGCTCCCCACTCCCTTGTTTGACGACATCCCATTCTGCATTAGGAGAGATGACGATTCTATATTAACCCCAAACAGAAGGTGGTTTTGAGGGTCACTGTTGTTTCCCCCTTCTTGGTCTTCAGAACACACTCTACCAGGGAACGAAGAAGGATAAGAGGCCACATTCTGGGACATACCCATGTTTTGAGATGTGACAGGGTCAATTGCAATACTCTTTGGCGGCCAGCTAGTTGGGGACATCAGGTTACCTGGTCTCGACCCGTTTATAATTTGTGCTGTTTCATATTGGGAAACCAGACACTGGAGTGGATTGACCATAGGGTTGGCAGAGGGGTCAGAAAATCCTTGCTGTTGTTGTTGTTGCTGCATGGAATATATTGTTTGTAGTGAGGGTGACTGACACTGTGAGCTTGAAGCTAATGGGGACATGACGGACCCCATGCCCGAAACCTGTTGCTGCTGAAGAGAATTGTTGAATGAATTTTGGAGTTGAAACTGTTGCTGGAGAAGTAGGGACTGGGAATCAGGGATATATGTTGGCTGTGGTTGAGAGTGTTGCAACATATGTTGTGTCTGATGCATTAGGGGAGCAGCAGACCTTTGGGGTAGGCCGTTTGTCTGGTGGAATTGCATGAGTGGGGATTGGGTGTGTTTGGAGGAAGGATCAACAGCCCGCATCTCCTGAAGAGCAGCAGCGGCCATGGCTTGATAAACATCATTTTGCATGCCTAGCATCGGGAAGGTGGGCTGCTGCATCCAAGGTGCCATCCCCATTCCTTGATAATTCATAGGCTGCATCCCACGATCTCCCACATCACGCATCCACATCAGGGGAGAATTGATCATCATATCTTCTTCCTTGATCCCTGTATTAATAAACGGGACGTAACTTTTCTGTGATTTCTTTATTGTAAATCATAGGAAAAGTTAGCTTTGTTTGATATAGGAGAATTCCCTTTTTTCGGGTAAAATAGCTTCTTGAAGCACTGACTTTTTATATTTTTGGCTAGCCAAAAGTGAGACATTCTGCTGAATCAGCACTTAGCTTTTGACTTACTTATTTGGCTTGAAAGAATTTTGATTTCCTTTTTGTAAAAAACAGCAGATTCAGTGCCAATATGGCTTCATTCAGACACAGATGCACACGTTTTTCTTCTTTTACTTTTTGCAGTTCTCTAAATATAAGGGATTTTTTAGGGGAAGATGATTGCGAAGGCTGTTATGGCGTGGTTGCAAATACCATTGTAGGTTGGGAGTCCTGGGGGCCATGGTCGCTTGAGTCTGAGAAAGGGAGATGGATACATTGGGAATGTAATTAAAGGTTCAATTTCCCAAAGGGATACTCTTGGTTGCCTATCTCCAGCTGTTGATTCATCCCACCCAACCTGCACAAATCATCCAGAACAACCAAACTGGTTTGAGCGTCTCACCAACTTGACCAACATATACTCTTATCCCTCTTTGAGCTTATGTAGGTAAAGTAGCACAAGGAGGTAAGCAAAACACATTAAACTTGCCTTGACAGAGCGCCAATACGAGTTTGGCCAATGAGAAGGATCCAAATCACTTATTCCGGTTATTGTCCCCATATGGCTGAAATACACAATTTAATGCTTTATTAACTTAGGTTTCTACACTTTAAGCTCTTTTTATTTTCTTTTACAATAAGAAAAAAGCAAATATACATCACAGGACCAAATGCAAAAAGAAGCATGAAAAAGAAAGAAGTTTAGCATTGTTTACCGCCGAACACCAGACTCTTCAGTTTCAAATAGCATCCTGAAGCGCATGCCAACAGAAATTCGGGTATGGTAAACAGCCTTAACATATTTGGCAAGAGGCACAACGAATTCTGAGGGGCTAGCCCTACACTTTCAAACAACAGAAGTTATGTACAGATAAAGGTGCCATGAAAAGTATTACTCAAAATATTTAGTGCAGAGGATGTTAATGGACCTTGGATTGTAAAAGATGGTGAAACGGCTGTTAGTTGCAGCTGCATGGGCGGCAGCAGCAAGAAGGCCGAGATGCATGCTGTCACTTGATACGACTGAAGATGGCATCACTGTTTGTGGACGATTGGCACGTCGTATACCAAGAAGCAATTGGTTCTTCTCATTCCTGATGATTATAAATAACAAAGGCAATCAAAATTTATTTGTTGATAGTAGTGTAAATTTTAGAAGTTATTTAAAAATGAAATGAAAAAGGTCTTTCTGGACATTTTATCTAGTTGAGGAATCTATGCCCAAAATCATCGGCCCCATGCAAAAGGAAAAACTTATGATGATGACAGATTCGGAATTTCATTTTATTTTTTTTATTCTAAAAATGTTGCAACAAAAAGGGCAATGTACCCATAAAATTTTGCCACTGATGTGTAATTCTAACAAAATTTTGATTCTGTACATCTCATTACAGAATATAAAGAGTTAATGGAATATATACTATTCATCAAAACCAACTAAAAGGAGTTACCAGATAAAAATGACTGAATCACCAGCAACAAGTCTTTTAGCACTCACAAACACGCTCCAACCAGTGGTGAGAAGGTGTCGTTTTGGCTGGCCTGTCATGACAACAAAACAAAAAATATAGTCAGCTTTGCGCAAACTAAGACCCACACAAGGAAATTTCAAATTACCTTCCAAACCATACATTTATAATTTGAAACAAGAAAGACTATAAATCGCATAAAAATATATGGACTTGTTGGGTATGCCGGACTGGACCAGACTCGGTTGGACCAAAAAAGTGCATTACTCCCATATTTGTAGCCTGTTTGGGTGGGATAAATGTGGTCCGCTATGTTTCATAAAATTCAGGAGATTCAGCCAGGAAAGAACTAAAATCCTCACAAAACGGGCTCGTAGTAGTAAAAGTCACTTTGAGGTTACTATGATAAGAAAAACTCCCTTTGAACCGCATTCAAGCACTAACCGCGGAAAATATGTCTGAACTTCCATTCATTGTCATGAAGGTCCCTTGCAATAAGCTCCTGTGCGGGAGGCTGCTGAGAGAAGTCCTGTGGGTTCAAAGCAAACCATGACAGCAGAACAGATGATTAAGAGAAGTTTAAATGCGAATAAGTTGACGGATGGTTACATTTTCATTTATTGTCAAATCTATATTACCAGTGGAGGGAACACTTTCTCTGCTGACCGGCGAGGAACTGAAAATCCACCATGAGTACTAGTATCACTCGCTGTAAGTGTTTTGCAGAAGTAGTTTGTTGGCTGTTTGCTTTGGGTACACATGTCCATGGGAAGAAAAGAAGCATCCTTTTGCTCTTGCTGCGAGAAACCCCAAATTCAGAAATATATACAAGTGCTCAAAGATTTGTTCAACATCAGCTGAATATGAAATAACCAACTATATAATTCGAGATAAGATTTTTGGCTACACCACATTTTAGGACGGAACCCCAAACCATAATAGTTTTTTTAGATAGGATCCAGCAATGTGTTAGATAAAAGGGATTAATGGAAAATATTTCCCTTTCACCCCACTTTTGTAACAATGTACTTGAAGTTATGCCTGCGCTTAGATCTGTCACAAAAAAAACATACCGGACTTAGAGGTTGCAATGTCATTTGAGCATAAACTTCATCAGTCTCTACATCAGCCTGAAGAGAACCAAGTGTCAATTATTTTAGCTTTGTTGTGAAGATAAGCTGTGGAGATTAGAGCATGGGTTACAATTACGATATTGTAATGGAATTAAAAAACACGACTTACATGCATTGTAACATTATGTAGCTGGCAGATAAGTTGTGGAGGTAAGCTTGGGTAATTGGGAATATGAGCATCAACTTCCCTGTTTGTAGATGCAGCAACCTACACACAGTTTATCAAAAAGCGCTGAAACTCTAGATTCATGAAAGCTTCAATGGAAGCTAAACACATCAGTTAAATGTCCCTCGTCAAGTTGGACAATTACCACATAGATTTCTAATACTAGTATATAAATGTGAGTTACACCTCACCACGTCCTTTTTGGGTTAAGTTAGGTTAGTTTAATAATACTAAACCAAATCAAATCTCCCTTCGGTACCATCAATTCTTGGCTACTGGGCAGGTATTCTGCCAAGCACTATTTTACACATTTGACTGACCCAACTGAAATGGCTTAGTTAATGAAAATGACACTTCTACCCTCACATTTCAGATAGTATTATTTTATTTAGTTCATTAAATGGTTAAAACTGTGTATATTACTATATTATGATAATTCCACCAGCTGAGCAATTTTAGTCATTACTGCCATAATTTTAGAAAATTCGGCCATTTTCACTATTTCAGCCATCTAAGCCAATCCTCCACCATCAATAGAGAGAGGGAGAGAGGCAGGGAGAGAGAGAAAGAGAATTGGTAGAATTAGACAAGCTATGCCTATTGTAAAATTAATAGGTGTCCGGCCTAGTCAAGACACACAAATTAATTCTCTGAAGAGTACTTTATTCGATAGCAAAAACCCCTTTATATAGACGTTGCTTAGACTTTAAAATAAGTCAGGAAACAAGAATTAGAAACAAACTAGAATCAAGAAATACAATAGTATTAGGAAACAATATCCGTGTTTCCCAGTTCAGCCACATTAACTAACTATAATAAGGACATATACTAGTATTAGCAAACTATATCCTTATTCCCAAGTTCAGCCACTTCCAGTTGTTGACTCCTGAGCCTTTGGACTCTTTGTGCGTCGTTTGTAAGTGTGGCCCCAAAAGGAGTCCACAACATATTAATGTCCTAGTCTTAGAAGAGTGCTGAAAATATAAATGTATAAGATGAGAAGTAATGATGGATGAAAAGGAGAATAAGAGTGAAGTGAACTATATAAATATACCAACCTGTTCACTATGGCCTTGTGGGAAATACACCACTTTGCTCCCCAGAGCAGGTAAAGATACAAGAGGACCAGCACAGGCATGCCACAGTTCTGAATTCAGACATTTCTTCTCCCCTGTAGTTCCTTAAACATCATCAGATCAAAATGTATTTCTTCAGAAGAATCAGATTAACAAATAAATAAAAAAGAAATAAAATTGTTTAACCTTCTTGAGGAGACTGCTGATTGAAACAAGCAGAAGAAAGCTTCATTTAATTTCCGCTGAACCAAAGATAGAAAACAGAATCTCAAATCAAATCCTCATCCAATTAAAGCGTGTTAGTTCATTCAGCATCAGCTAAGGACATAAACCAACCGCATTTCCTGCTTAAAACTAAAGATGATGATTCGCTGCACTTATCCCAAAAGAACTTCCACTTCCTCAGTGCTCTTCAGATCTCATCAGCTTCCCAGGAATCAGAGAAAGATCAAAATTTTCAAAACTCGGGAAGAAGAGAAAACTCAGAAATTCCGAAGATTCTTCACCAGAGAGTAGAACCAAGTTGTGCAGTTCAGAGTCACACACGCAATCTGCAATTGTCAGGCCTTAATCTCTCTCTCTCTGTCTATGTCAGTCTTTCAGCATTTATATATGGAGTATATGCATGTGCGGGTGGGGTACAGAGATTACAGATATGGTTGGGGGACTGGAAACCTTGAGTTCTGCTACAAGAAAAGATGACAGAAGCAGAAATGGTGATGGTGGAAGGAGAAGTGAGCGGCAGAACTCCCTCCTCTCACTACCTGAGATGGATGACTCTCAGCTCTTTCAGCTCCTACTTTGCATTACAAATAAACAAATTATTCTCCCCCTCTCTCTACATTTATCCCTCTCTCTGTTAGTCTGTCCTTTTGAAGTCCCATCAGTGCACGAAAACCGCCATTATTTCTGACTACTGTGATAGTACTATGGCCACACCTTTTTTAGTTACTGCGACTCCAATTTTACTCTCCTCATCTCTTTGTCTCTTCAATTTTTTTACGGAGTACCGATAATACAGTAGTAACTAATTATCTCATCAAAAAATTAGTAATAATATCAGGTGAAAGACTCCTAACTCATTTCCACGTGCATATACTGTGTTTTCCATCAAACTAAACTAATACTCCCTCCATAACTTAAAAATTTTCCCATTTCAAAAGTAGATAGATTAAGAATAGTGAAAGATTATAAATTATTGAGGGTAAGATGGGAAGATAGTGAAATAATGTGATGGAATGTAGGATAAATGTAAAAAGAGTAGTTGTAATAGTGTATTATTTATAGAATTATTGAGAGTATGACGGGAAGATTTTGGGACAATCCAAAGATGACAAAGTTTTATGGGATGTATGGAGTATTAGAAAAGGTTAAATTCAAAAGCTTCTACTTGATTTATGCAAATGAAAATAACTTTTTTCTAAATAGAGTTGTGTTGGATTGAAATATAGACTAAGGATGTATTTACTTGGACTGTAATTTGCCCCAGATCAGACCAGACCAGTTCAGACCAGACCAGACCAGTTCAGATCAGACCAGACCAGACTTGGATAGTTATAAAAATACAAAGAAACCAGACCTTACCAGACCAGACCAGACCAGACCAGACCAGACCAGACCAGACCAGACCAGCAAATTACAGTCCAAGTAAAAACATCCTAAAAACAAAATAGTACATAGATGAAAAACAAAAAATTGCAAGGGCTTGAAACACAACGTGTCATATTTGGAGCGACTAAAAACATATTTAAACCTTTACAAAAATGCAATGCTCAGAGCCTGGAGCCTGTTTGGTAAACTATATTTTTTAAATTTATCACTTTATTGTCCTTATCAGTTAATTTTTTTATTAAATACTACATAGGTAACTTTTGAAATCGCATGCTGAATTGTGTCAGGTTGAAGTTATTTTTTGTGTGAATTGACTTGAGTTACTGTGGATAATCATTTAACTAGTTTCTTCTAATTTTATCTTTATTTTATCAATAAAATTATATTTTAAACATATTTTTATACTAGTATAATCCATCAGATTCAACTGTTTCAACCATAATTTTATCAATTTCAATATATTTAGCCGATTTAGTTGGTTTAAAACGAGCTCTCAATATATTAAAAGAAGGTATTGGTTCTTTTTTATAGGTGATTACTTTCCATTACTTTCTAATGAAGTGTTATCCCAAACAACAAATAAATAACTACTCAATTCCTTTTTTCCAGTGGTTGATTGGTGTATTTGTAAGATTATGTGAATCATGGGCTCATTTAAAGAAAGGCTAATGGTTCAAGAGTTTATGCAATCTTTTTTCCTTTTAATCTCAATGTCAAAACAACAACAACAACAACAACAAAAACGGAGTAAAAGAACTAATATATACTCCCTTTATTCCAAAATAATTGTCTTATTTTTTTTCTTTTTTGGGACGTCCCCAAAAATTGGTCTGGTTTCTTCTTCTGGCAATACTATATGACTCATATCAATCGCCTCCAAAAATTGGTCTTGTTTCTTCTTCCGCCTGTAAATCAATCATCGCCTTCGGTTTGAAATCGGTCGACAGTCGCCTCCAATTCGAAATTGACTCACCATCATTTACTCGCATCGCCAATCGGAAACATCTTCCCTTTTCCGCTGCACCTGAGTTATGGTTCCTCTCTTCTTCATTTCTTATGTCGCCCAGTTAGGGTTACAAGGGTGGTGGCGACGGCTATGGTTACAATGACGGGTAGGTGGCAAACATGCGGATGTACGATTAGATCTCAGATGTGTGGGGGGGCTAGGGTCACAACAGCTAGTGGTTGGGGTTGGCATGGGCTAGTCGAAGGTGGGGCTGGGGAGTGGATCGGGGTCGGGCTGGGGTACGGTAGTCGGAGCTTGGGAGTTGGCTAGGGTCGGGACAAAAGGGCAGTGATGGGAAACATGGGAGTGGTGCTAGAGCTAAGAAGTTGGGGCTGGGGGGATGATGGCGGTGGCGACGAGGTGGCGGTGGCAGCGAGGGTGCGGTCGGCGATGTCAATGGGCCGAAATCACTGTGATCGATGTCAATGTGGCGGTGTCAATGTGGCCGGAGTCACCGAGTCACTGTGGCCGGCGGCGGACACCAGTCGGGATGATCATTGCAGAGGATGAAACTATGGTGGTCATGTCACTATCTGATAGTGTTACTGGAGTCTAGAGGTAATTACTAATTAGTAGGTTTCATGCCAATTAGTCACGTTTTTTTAAATTGAAAAAACAACCACTTTTTTGTCCATCATCCAATTTTGTATAATATTCATGTCAAACCCCATGATTTTTCTTTATTTTATCAATAAAAATATTTAGATATACTATTTTTCATAATTCTGCATATCTAGCTGTCGTTTCAGCCAAAAGTTCATCAATTTGAGCACATTCAGTCAGTTTTAACATTACCAAACGGGCTTGTTGAGTATAAGGCTCGAGACAGGCAGGCCCAAATATCCCAGATGGCCTAGCCCACACAAAGGGCCCAATTTCCAATCACAGACGATAGAGCTCGTCCGCTCTGGCCAATCGGGATATGCCGACCGGGAAGATCTCAAGACTTAGAGCTTTTCCGTGGACTTGCTGTCTGCCAACAGGAAGCTCTATTAAAGTAGTTGGCAGGAAACTCATAATTGGTGGGAAGCGTGTTTAATGCATTAGATATGGAGGATATTATGGTTTGTGGCTATCGACTCACGCACTCAAGACTCGACACATCGCTCCGTTTCACCTACTATCTTGTGGTAAAAACTAAAAATACTTGTATTTATTCCATTGTAAGGGGTTGACAAACTTGCATTCAATAGCTTATACTTCTCTTTAGTTCTTTTGTAATCTCTCGGTATAGAATAGAGGGTCGGGATTCGGGCTCGGTAAGGGTGTGCTAAAATCATTCCAAGTCCATGATAGAATGCGGCTAACTTTACCTCTTTTCCTTTGTTGCTATTGCTTTTGCCTTCATATTGCATGCCTAACTCAATCATTAAAGATATATAACTCACAAAATATTATACGAAAGCCCAAAGGAATGTGTTGGACCTTTGGACTACGATGAGTTAACCTCAACACTTGCACCATCTGTGGGAAACTGAACAAGAACTTCCCAAGAAAACTCTTGTGCTAAGCAGCACCTTCTACGAACTCGAAGGTGATCGCTGAAAAAATGGTGAGACGATCTTCTCAGCAAACCAGAGACCTTTCTCAACCGGTGTGTGACAATAGGGAATCATAGACCCTGACTACCAATGAAGCGTTGGGTAGCAAGTGATCAAATCCAAGCATGGGTGGGGGGCCTCACCCTCCTAATACCAGCCGACGCTCATAGGGACCCGCACAACATGAGAACATTGGTTGAGAGTCTAAGAAATTTGGCCGACCAAAGCGAAGCGGAGCAAAGTGTGCACACCTTTGGGATGTAGCTCTTTTCTAGTTTTATGTTTCGCATGACAAGTTTTAAAAGTTTTTTTTTCAAAATAATAGATCTTTTTTTAGAAGCTACACTGAGTATCATCTGAAATAAGTAGGGGTGAGCAAATAACCAAAAAGACCGACGTAACCGGTAACCGGTGACCGAACCGAACCAAACCGAAAATTCGGTTATCGGTCGGTTATTCGGTTTTTCGGTTATTTAGCAGTTTTGAATGTTCGGCTCGGTCGGTGACCAATAACCAATATTACAAGGCTATAATGCTTAATGATAACAAAATAGGCCTGGTATATTAAGCGAAGAGCCCAAAGTAATCTTTGCCTGCCTTATACGAAGACCCAATGGTAATTTCTCTTCTCCAATTCCGAATGAATACAGGTTATTATTCACTACTCTTGAATAGAATATCTTTGCCTTCTTCAATTCACTCTTGTAGTGAACAAAGAATTTTTGACAACTTAACCATCTGAATTTTGGATTTTTTGTTGTGTTTTTGGCTGAACTATTTGGTGGTAATAACGTTGTATTGATGTTTGAAACCCAGTTAACAGTTTCATTGATTTTTTATGCATGTTGGATATGGTGATTTTATTCAGTAGAATTACAGCACAAAGATATCCTTATTCATATGAAGAAAGAGTATCCCGCCCTCCTATGAGGAAAAAAGGAGGAAATCTGGATTTACTCTATGGTTTAATTATTTTCGGTCATTGTTCGGTTATCGGTTATTGACCGAAACCGAACAATCTTTTTTCGGTCGGTTATTTTAATATAACGGTCGGTTCTCGGTCGGTTATTTGTTTAAAATTTTATAATCTGTTATTCAGTTATCGGTCGGTCGGTCAATGACCGACCGACCGAATGCTCACCCCTAGAAATAAGTTTGTAGCTTTTGACCATATTGGGCAATCAGATGTTAGTTGTTAGATGTTAACTGGTTGTGATAGTTGTTTAACAGGAGCTGATTGAGTCAGTTGTTTTAGTTTTTGGTTATTTTAGCGGGAAAACTGTCAAATTGACCCTCCAACTATATGAAAAAAAAAACAATTAAGCCCTCTAATCAAACACTCAATCAATAGGTTACCTTCCCGTCAGCCGGTCATCATTTTTAATTGTTTGTTCGTTTTCTTTCTCTTCTTTTCTATTTTCTATTTTCTTTTTCTTTCCTTCTTTCCTCCTTTCTTTATCTTCTTCTCTCTTCTTGACCCCACCAATCTTTTTCTTTTTTTTCCCTCCCTGTTCTTTCTCCTTCACGCTCCAAGTCTCCAACTTGTCTTCTCCTCCAGGCTCCACACGTTTTCACCTCTTCTTCTTTTTGCTTCCACTCCTAGCTTTTTTATTTCTTTCACTAGATAGTCACCCCTCTTAATCCTTCAGGAACTCATTTGCGTCGTCGCCGGCAAGCTATATTGAAGATGAGCCGTCGTTGCCGGTGAGCTACATTGAAGAGGAATTCATCGTC